ATTTAATATAATTATATAATATAAATATTATCATATAATTACAATAGTATAATTTTTTTCTGTGAAAAAAAATCAAATAATAATAAAATACACAAAAAAATGCAATGATGTGCATCTTTTTTTACGCATCTCGATGGGCAATGCAAAGAGCGTTGCTTGGCATGATACAATAATGTACGTAAAAATGCACTCCAACACATTATAAATGTATGCACACAATGCCCCCAGTGCCCACTTTACCTGCCCCTGCCGTCTCCTCCGGCGCCGCCATCTTTGTTGCTGCGGTTGCTACGAGACGAGCTGGCGTCCCGGGGTCGCCCTGGCAACAGCAGCACGTGATCCGGAGGCAGGATTCCTTTCATCCTTTGCCCGTGACGTACTCCCTCAGGTGTATGTAGACCTCTTCGCCGGAAGGTGGCGCTGCTAATACGAGGTCTGTGTGCAGTGGCAGTTAGGTGCCGCAGGGTGGCGCTGTGTCGCCTTCTCACAAGTTGCCCGCTGTTGGCGCTGTGCGGGTACGAGCCTTGCCTTTTCTGTACGGGTAGTAGGAGGTGCAAAACTACATTTCCCGGTATCCTCTAGGGCTTTACGTCATCACGTGGCTTCCTTGCTCTGGGGAAATGCGCCTGCGCCGTGCACTGGTTTCCTAGTTTGGTAACACACGTGACTGTGAAGCGGAGAGGTGAGTGTTGCATTGCATCAGATTGCTCTATAGGTGAGTGTGTGGTCACCTCTGGTCAGTGACATTAGGGGAGGGGGTCACTGACAGCTGTCATGTGACATAAAGGGCTATCCTGGGTGCTGCAGGTTACATGGTGTTAGGAGAGGGGGGCAGGTCATGTGTGACATTGATGGGGTCACCCTGATGGTGGCATATGGAGAGCAGGAGCATGTCCTGAATGTGAGTCAGGGAGAGTCATGTGTCCTGTACAGCTTGTTAATGTACATGTGCCCCTGATCCCTCTATAACTGGGGGTCACTTCATTCTACAACTGCCCCTCCCTGGGGGGTCCCTTCTTTCTACAACTGCCCCTCCCTGGGGGGGTCCCTTCATTCTACAACTCAGTGACTGTGTGTCGATGCCAAAGATGAGCCAGGAAGGGCAGCCGCCATGTTTAAAGAAGATCTCTGGGCATGTACTAAACCCTAGACCAGGGGTGGGCAACTCCAGTCCTCCAGCTGTTGTGGAACTACAAGTCTCATGAGGCATTGTAAGACTATGACAGTTACGGGCATGACTCGCAGGGGCAGGTTGGGATCTGTAGCTAAAGCACAGCTGGAGGACCGGAGCCGCCCACCCCTGCCCTAGACCATACAGGGACTTAACCCTTGCACTGCGGGGGTTATCTCTTTTTTATTTCTCTCGGTATCAGTTCCTGTTCCATCGGATCTACTTTATATTTTGTACGCTCCCTTCCTCCTTTTCTATATCTATGCAGTATGTGTTCCCCCTCCCCTCCCCTCCCCCCTCTCTTCCCCAAAACCCCTG